AATTTCATTCTGCACCAAATTTTGCATGCGTGGAGGTGATGGAAAATGTAAATTTAAATACAGAATTACATTGCCATTTTGAATATTGCATTGTCATTTTGCATATTGTATTGCCATTTTGCATATTGCATTGCAAATTGAATTTTGCTACACATATGCTTCCATATGTTACATGTTGTTCTTCCTGAAAACTGCAATATTGAGTTTGGCCATGTGGAAACGCGTGATTTAATACAGCCCTTCAGAACACTTAGTGAAAAATGGCAGAGTTCGCTTAAGGATCGTTTATGCATGCAACACGCCCATACAAACCTCTTTAATATAGCAGCCTCCCTTTTCTTTGGTGAGTTTTCCTCGTTGTATGTTGATTTGTATTAATTGTAAAGACACCTCAATGAAGACCCTGCTGCTCCTGATCAAGGTGCCATCGTCATATTTTTGAAGTTTAACGTGCTTCTTCTTTCGCAGCTTACTGAACAACATCAGAACACGTTTGTTGCACTTTAAATGAGTAAAATAAACAAATAGTAATTTTAGTGATTGACAATGATTGACTGAAAATGGCTTACCTTTTCTTCTTTTCGGGAACTGTAAGAAAAAAAGAGCATCTTGAATGAACTATTTTTTGCCAAGTATTCTGAAGACCTATGACTACTAGAAAACCTTTGTTAATCAATGTCTAATTGTGTCGAAAATTTAACTGATTACATTAATCATTTGGATTAATTTAAAGCAAATTGTTTTCTTGTTAGACACGTTTGCCAAGCACACCTTCATTGGGCATTATGTAAATTCCTACTCCGTTCTCTGTAGTTGATCGGGGTTTTTCATGGTAGTTCTGACATATAACATTGTTGCATGATCCACGTCTTTCATTGGCACAGTGGAAAAAACATTTCATTGCCTAAAAAAAACATCACAAATCCAAATGGGAAAACCCATACACAAGCAAATAATTATTTGTGTCACATTTTTAAATTAATACAAAACCTCTTTATCTAAATGCTTTTCAGTGCATTGTTTGTTCCTGCAATGCTTCTGCAGCCTCCACGTTGTACAGATCACGTTGCTCGACCGCGCGCATTCCCTGTGCTGAAAATAACATTTTTTCTGGAAATTGGATAGAAAAATGGTAAGTGGATGAAAAATTGATGGGAAAAACAGTGTATTTGAAAAGAAAAGAAACACACACATAACATGAGCAGGTCATGAACATATCACATACCTTTGTACAAGTATTGTATTGATAATTAAAACAGTCCACGTTGTCACGCTAAAATGAAGAAAAAGGGCAAATTGAATTGGACCTTGAAGCACAAGAAGCGTATTTCCGTGACCTAATATAATGCTTACTAACACTTACCGCCAGTTTCTGCATATTTAAGAGGGCGGTCAATCAGTCTGGGGAAAAAAAGCTCATTACAGGATGTTCCCCAGTGTCCTTTAATGTAAACTTTCTCTGAAGTATCCGTACTGATTTTGATTAAATTACTCTTTTGGCCACAGTGAAGTAGAAAGCAGGTGTGGAAGACACTAAGAAGGATTAACCCACCGTGCTAACCACTACCAAAACCAAGCGGGCCTTCATTCTTTGAGCGGTAAAAAGCAGTTGAAGTGGCTTACAACTGAAATTAATTATACAATCTTTTCGTTTAATAAAAGACAAGGAGCATTTCTAGATGACAATTGCGTCTTTAATTTATTATTATTAAATTACAAGTTACGTGTTATGGAGTCTACAATTAGTACATTAAGCTTACCATGGAAATACCACTCCCATAAATATGGGGAATTAAAGTTTCTGAGCTTGAATCTTACAATCAATAATTCACTTTGGTCACCATTAACTTTAACCTCACTGCTTATTTGTACTGAAAAAAATTCATCATTAGTTAATTGTAACGTTTTGAAATCGTACCTTATAGCCTATTCTTCCGACTTCTTCTTTCTCTTCCTGTTCTTTTTCTGAACCTCATTCCTTTTTTATTTTAATATTGGAGGGCGGACCTAAACTAAAACGAAACTTAAGTGTATTCTTTTGTTTCGTATTCTGGCAACGAGGTGGCAGTGTTGCCAACTATTTCCAATGACATGAATGACAACTCACTTCATAATGACTATTTGATGTCTGCAAGTGATATCACTTTGTACCTGCCTGACCCAAAGTTGTTTTCACGTTCAAATCCACGTAGGAATATAGCTCACATACACATTGGTTGTCATTATGTGATATTTCCAGGTAGGGACTCAAGGGGTTAACCCCTTGAACTTGAACTTTATGCTTAACAGGGGTGTCATTAGGCCTATTTTAGGGGGACATCAGCCCCCCTTTAATGTTTTTTATCCTCCCAAATAAATGTGGATTAAGTCATGACTATAGCTTTTTGTTTCATATATAATATCATATTGAGAAGGAGGCAGGAGTGTGTATGCTGCCTCTGCTATCTGAACCTAACTTCTGTGCTGGAGCGAGAAATATAACGCCACCACAGGTGATCTGTCAGAAGCACGGGGTGCCGGGGGCCGGTTTT